ATGTGATTTTTCGAAAAATTCAAGTGCTTTCGAGTAGTCACCCATGTTGTTATACACTTGACCGATGTTGTTGTAGGAACTAGCTAAACTGGGATGATTCGGAGGCAGAGCTTTTTCGTAGGTTTTATGTGCTTTTTCGTAAAATTCAAGTGCTTTGGAGTAATCACTCATGTGGTAATACACTGTAGCGATGTAGCTGTAAGAAGTGGCCAAATTGGGATGATTCGGAGGCAGAGATTTTTCTTCAATTTCATGTGCTTTTTCGGAAAATTCACGTGCTTTCGAGTAGTCACCCATATTGTTATACGCAAGACCAATGTTGTGATAGGTACTAGCCAATGAAGAATGATCTTCTGGAAGAGTTTTTCTCCTGCTTTCGAGTGATTTTTCATAAAATGCAGCTGCTTCTTGGTATTGTCCTTGAGCGTCTTTTAACATTCCAAGGTGGTGATAAATAATTGCTCTATCACTGCCACTGGAAGCGTTCTTGAGTAACTGATTGTAGAGTTCTTCAGCTTGATTGAAGTGACCCACTTTGAGCATCAGTTGACCCATTCGATACCATCCGGTGGGTCCTTGAGTTTCCTCTCGTATGCAATTAGTAAGAGTAGCCAATTCAGGGTTATTCTTGTCTGTGAGAGTTAATTGGACTTCCCATAAACGACTGTTACTAACTGATTGTTTGATATCGTCGACACGAAAAATAGTGTGCATTGAAAAGAGGATTTCTTTTTCGGTTTTAATAGCACTGTATTCATCGATAAGTGCAAATGGAGTAGTCGACGCCGATATTTTATTTAGATCAATGGTCATGATGAAAAGAACACCCACGATGTCTTTATTTTTCTGTATGGCATGTTCCACGAATCTCATAGCAATCTGTTTTTCTGTGCTTGTTGATAAAAAGTTGTTAAACGCAAGTAAGCCACCTTTTATACCGAGTAAATGCTGCATATCCTCGTTGCTTAGGCCCTGACCGCGATATACGATAGAACGATTTACAAAAGTACTCTGTTGGTTTTCGTACAATTGCTGTAGTTGCCGATGAAGATCACAGATGAAAAATCCTAATGCCATCATTGCTTGCGTGTCAAGTGATCGCAATGATAGGTTCAGCATATCATATAAGAATATTGGACGGGTATACCACCAAACAGGGCTTTTCTCATTATAGTCACGCTGGAACTCCAATAATTGAGATTCACGAACACCTTTTTGACAGCAGTATTCTACTAACTTCTCCATAGCCTTTTTAGTATCTTCGGTGATATCCAATAAAATCTCTTTGAATATCATCGTGTACATAAAAGATGGTTCCAATTGATCGAGGTTCTTTTCATTCGACGCTGTTATTGCTGTTGAGATCATCTGCTTTGAAAGGAAACTCATTGGTATTGCATCATGGTCACGTTGGTATATATTGTCTCTTAATGAATTACATAATGATTTGATTTCTTTGAAGACTCCTTGAACTTTTGGCCATTGTTGGTATTGGGTATCTTTGTCTTGAACAATATAAATGCTTTCTAGGTGAGGAATATCATGGATGAGTGGCACCAAATGTTGATTTATTGTGTCGGCAATGATTAGTAGCACCTTAATGTCATCTATCTCCGTAATGAAATCAACACAATCGTCTGGTTCTTCGAAAGTTTGGATATCCATGGCGATACCGAATAGTTGCTCTAACATATTTTGCGAAGTCGAGTTTTTCAAATCAATATTTCTTTCCAACCAGATCAATAAATAATCTTGACTACGACGTTCTTTTGCTTCATTAGCATTTGATGATATTTTCTTCATTGACGGAGTCTCTGTTTTTGATGAATAAACAGTTGATTTCGAATCGTTGGCACCCATATTTGATATTACTGATCATTTCATTGGTGGGCGAGCCAAGAATTTTGGATATCTAATAGTTTTCTATTCCCAGATTATATTGTCTACGGATATGTTCACCGGTTTCAAATCGCTTTTAATATTCACCAAAATTTCTACTATTATTTAAAAAATATATAACTGTAAGACGAAACGCACGAGAACAAAATTCAGGGTGCGTGTGGGTGTGGGGTGTGGGTGTGGATGTGGGTGTGGATGTGGCTGTGGATGTGGCTGTGGGTGTGGATGTGGCTGTGGATGTGGCTGTGGGTGTGGGTGTGGGTGTGGGTACGGGTGTGAGTGTGGATGTGGGTGTGGGTGCGGGTGTGGGTGTGGGGTGTAGATGTGGGGTGGGTGTGGATGTGGGGGTGGGGGTGTGCGTATGGGTGTATGCGTATGGGTGTATGCGTATGGGTGTATGCGT